TGATAACATTAGCTGATTGTAGAGAGATATTTGGTAAATTAATTATTAGTTGATAGCTGATTACATATAAAATGACTTTCTCAAAAAGTTAATTAATCAAATACACGTATTAATTGTTTAACCAAGTCAAATGTCAGTAATAGTCAAATAAACTAAAATTAACTGATAGACTAGTTATTTACCCATCAGGGTGAAAATAAAATAACTTGTGTTATAAAAAATATATGAATATATAATTAAATTACACCTAACAACCTAAATGAAGCCAGATGTACTTTTTTGAATGGAAATGTGTGAATCCTTGACACTATAGTACAGAGTATTTATTTTGCTTTGGCGACAAATTCGGTCGTTTTCTTTTTGCCCAGGATATATCATCGGTTTTCTGGAAGGTGCACCACGACATCAAGGTACATGCTACGTGGAATGCCACACACAATCTGGACCATCCGTAGTGATGCGTTGTTACACACTAGAGCGCACACACACTGACACGTGGCATCATATGCATCGTTCAAACATATTATATATATTTTTGAAACAACGATATTATATAAACCACATATTTTATGTGGTATTTTGTATCGTTTGACGTAATTTTATCAGATAAATAGCACTTTATGCTTAGATGATATGTAGTGACTCTCCTATATGAGAGGTCATGAGATCAAACTTCAGTGGAAGCGAGGTAAATCAGAATGACTCAATGACATAGTAGACAGGTTCCACTTTGAACATAATCCTCATATTGTCACATTTGAATTTGGGAAGATGTAATTCAGAATGATTCAGTAGATTGGACCAAATATTGGTTTGCACAAAAAATCTATCTCATATTATTACTGTCAAAGTTTAAATATTAAGTTTTTTTTTTAAATATTACTTATTGACCCAGTAAGTTAAGACCCAATGAGCTCAAATGGGATATGTTTGAATAGTTGCTATGGATGTTTTTGTAAATCAAAGAGAGATGATGCATAATAGTGGTCAAAGTTCATATGAAATTTCATGCAACTTTCCGGAAAGTTTGAGAGAAAGCACATTTCTTGTGCCTAAAGAGTTTGGCCGGGCCACCTGATATTATTGTAGCATATTATCACTCTGCATCCCAAATTTCCATAAAAGTGGTCACAAGCTAAAAGACTTGGTCAATACAAGCTATGTGAAAAAAATAAAAAAGTTTCACATTTAACTAACATTGCAATATAAGCTTTGTCCTATAGTAAAAATTAAAATAATTTATTGGCGCGGCTCAAATCAAATTTATATTAATTTTATAATGATAGAGATATCAAATACTATTAATAAAATTTTATCTTATTTTTTTTAATAAAATATAAAGTATTTATCTTATTAGTTTACCTCTCCTCTCTTTGGCAAATTTTTTCTCTCATTTCTTTGGCGAGTTCTCCTCATAAGTGTGGAATGATAAAATGGTCACACCAAAATTACGCTTGGCTATGTTTGAATAGATCTATGAGGGAGCGTCGAATTTATTTCACAACTTTAGCTCAAATTTGTAAAACAGTTTGCGATCCAAATTTTTCTGTAACATTGTTAAAAAATTTATTTTTTATGTTTAATTGTAAAGAATATATTACCATTCTAATAATTTGTATTGTAATTTATTTAAAAAAAATTACATAAAATTAGGATGGGTAACGAAGTCTAGAGCGATAGACGTGGTCGTCGGTCAATTTTGGTTGGACTAACCATTAGCGTGGAATAATTTAGGAGGGACAAAACGGCGCCGTTTAGTGAACATTTTTAAATTCTAATGGTCGACGTGTGCGTGTTTCACGTGCTGCTAAAAAAGCTACTTTCACACACTCGCAACACGTACCCCTCACTCTCCCTTCACTAGCCGTAATTTAAGTGGTAAAAAAAGTAGAAATTGAAAAAAAAAAAATCACTATCTAATGTATATGTTACATATGTAAACCTATTACATTTATTATTATTATTAGGAATAAGGGTCAAATAGGCCATCGAACTGCACACGATAAAACAATTAGGCCACTGAACTTAAAAAATCAACAATTGGGTCCCTAAACTTATCAATTTCAAACAATTCTTCCAATTTGAAGGTTTCCAACAGGTCATCCTTCCAAATTAATTATTTTTTAAAATTTAAATTTTAAAAATTAATTATTTAAAAAAAAAAAAAAAAAAAAAAAACTGGTTCCAGCCGGAGACGGCACCGTCTCCGGCTGGATTCCAGTTTTCTTTTTAATTTAATTTAAAAATAATTAATTTTTAAAATTTATTTTTTTAAAAAATAATTAATTTGGGAGATGACCTGTTGACCTGTTGGAAACCTTCAAATTGGAAGAATTGTTTGAAATTGATTAGTTTAGGGACCTAATTGTTGGTTTTTTAGGTTCAATGGCCTAATTGTTTTATCGTGTGCAGTTCGATGGCCTATTTGACCCTTATTCCTTATTATTATTATTATTATTATTATTATTATTATTATTAATGAATTGAGTACATGTTTGCGAATTGAGACGATGAGAAAAATTGCGAATTGAGATCAATCTTAAGGTTTATATTTATTATGCTTAAATTAGAATTTAAGTTGAAAATCACAAAAATAATTTTAAAATTTTTAGATTTCAATATGTCTTCAATGTAATGGTACTTACGTGATGAATTTTGACACTAAAATAATAATCGTAAATAAAAATAGTAATAAAACAATAGTCGTAGATGAAAATTAATACGAATTAAGCATGTGAATTCAAACCGTCATTTTATTAATTAATACTCGTGAGATCAAAATTGATATTCACTCTTTTCTTTATAGACTTAAAATTAAGTTGATAGGGTCTATAATACAAATATATCAACTAGTCGTACCCACACACTTAATCAGTTAACCGCTATCAACTATTTACTAAACACTCGAGAAACGAATTGTGATGAAACAGTTGATGTGGAATTGTGTGTGGTGGGACCCACGGAGCACATCATGTCTTTGCAGAAAATGAGAAACATAAGGAAGAGGTATGAAAGTTAGAGAGGATACCCCATCCCAATGGCCATGCCAATATACATACACACTCACATATATAATATATATATATACACACACACGCCCAATTGCGATAACAGCATCTAACGACTTTTCAGTTTTCAAGGGTCACGATCTAATCTCATCACACGCAATTGGTCAGAATCTTCATGCCCACTTGCCCTGCCAAGCGTCCTTTACTCATCAACCCATATATACCCCATCAACTACTAGAACCTCACCCCATTAAACACTACATATATCGAGTACTATCAACATTGATGTTATCGAATATCATCAATATTCATATCAATAATATCAAATCTGAATAGAATTCGAACTCCCATCTCGTACGGAAAAATTATTTAGTCAGTACTTTGCCCTAAATTGAATAGCTCGGTGCGAATGGAAATTAATTTAAGTATAATATGGACTTAAATGTGTCTCCTATAGTCAAGGTCTACTCAGGATATAATTATTAACTAATTACGCATGGATAGTTCAGTTGGTCACACGAGTGAAGTTTGAAAACAATGACTCGCTCAAGTCTCACCAGCAGCAGTGTGGGAGCAATCTCTCAAACTGCGGGACAATTACATTGTTTGGTTGGAGGGAATTGCAATTCAATGAATTTGGGAAAGGAAAAATATATGAAATGACATTATTACCCTTGGTTATTATTACTATTATTATTATACAAGGGTATTTTAGTCTTTATACCACTTATTTCCTTCTCAATTTCAATAATTTTATTTCTCATTACCAAACAACGTAATTTGAATTCTTACTTTATTCTCACATTATTCTTTTCCTATCGAATTACAATTTTTTCCCATAATTCCTTCCTTCCAACCAAATGCCCCGTTAAGAAAATAGTAAGTATGACTTATAAAATGAGTTCGAGGGAGTAACATTGTTTATTGTTGGGAATGAAAAGCTTAAACGAGAGTTGACAATAACAAAACCAAAGAAGACGTTTCGCATTCATCACTACCGTTGATTGAAGATCGGACGGTCAGAAAACAGCCCCCATCGCCCACGCAAACCAAGAGAGAACTCTACTATTGTGGGCGGCTGATCAAATTCGTGACGATCGGAGAACAAGTGAACAAGGACACCTAGCTTTCCTCTAACCAATCCAGTCTCGCCACGTCACCAGCTTGATACCCACCACCATTTCACCCGGCCCCACCATTTGAAAGTAACCTTTTACAAATCGACATTTTCCAAGAATAACATCTTAGTCCCAATTCTAACCTCATTCAAAAATAAGCTTTAAAAAAAAAAAAAAAACATCATTCAAAAATAAATAAATAAATACATAAAACAAGAATTTAAAGAAAAAAGAATAAAATGCTCCATACTCTATACTAGTCTACATTTAAAAAGTCTATAGTGTCGACCAATATCAGTATTGATAATTCTTAATAAATTTTATATACAGAATATTATATTTTTCAGACCATCCAAATATCTTAATACTACTATAAAATTATTATTAAGTACAACATCTAATTTACCAGATCATTATTTTAGAAGTTCTATATACTATGGTACTAATAGTTTGTACCTAATATTACCAACACCAAGATCAATTATATTATGAAAATCTTGGTATTGCACTATTTATATTGTATATTTTATATTTTACTGCGTACTATAAACATTGATACTAAAAATACTCGTTACAATTTGGTATATCATTCATTGTTACAACGTATAATATTTTTTTTGTTGTATCAAATACTGTTATAAAGATAGTAATGATACTCGTTATAGTAATAATGTTATTATGTTAATTGACAGTATAAAAAGACCCATTAACAACTAAGTATTATATCAATGTATAAATAATCAAGCATTTTGTGACAATGTGTATCATATACCCAATTTGTTGTCATTATAAATATAAATGCAATAGAAAGCGAGTAGAAAAATGTATAAATTAAAGAAATTAAGGAACTAAGTACATTATAAAAGGGCATGGTTAAAATATTGTAACACAAAGAGGCAAGTATATACATTTTTTTTTTATTTCATTTTTATACAAACAAAACTTTCTTATATGTATAAACACTCTCTAGTACGGAGTATTTGACATTTCACCATCATCATACTATATAATATAATATAATATATTATAGCTTATTTTCTAAGCCCAACTTCTACATTAACAAATTTAGACTTTAGTCCTTCCACTTTTCCTTATTCCCATTTCTGCTCCTGCATTTTTTGTTTTTCCCATCAGGCATCAGCATTCTTGTATTCGCGTCTTCTACTATGTACAATATATGATGGGGGGTGGGGACACTGGCCTTTAAGGTAAAAAGGCGCAAGTGTTGGGGGGATTTTCATGATTAGGAGAAATATTGAGGGGTGATTAGCAAATTTTGCTTAGTAGAACTCTATGATCAGTCCTCCCATTGGGGCCCTATGTGGAATTCCCTTTCTTCTCTTCGCCGCCCTGTAGTTGCCAGAAGTTGGCGGCGGCGTTGACGGGCTGAAGCTGTGAAGCTTCCCGCCGCCGCCGTGGCCGTGGCGGCCGCCGTGACTGCTGCTGCTGCTGTAGGAGTCCTCGGAGTCTGAACCCACCGCCGCCGCCGCCGCCCTCTTCTTCTCCGAGAAGTGCTTCGGCTTCTTCACGAAGTTCTTGGATGTCCCGACAATCTGTAATGAATGCCCAGAAACCCAAAATTCTCAGAAATTTTTAAACAAAATCGCCAGAAATCAAGATCTTTAAGCCCAAATTCTTAATGTGATTGGGTTTTTCTCGAGCAATCAAGCATTGAAGCAGTAAAAGCAGATATCAACATTAAACCCGGATTGAAAAAGCAAGAAAATCCTTAGGAAAAAATGCAGAAAATAAGAATACCTTGCAGCCAAGAGAGCAGAAGCGGAAGGAATCAAGGAGGCTACGCTCACAGACCTCACAGGTATTGGTGACGCCCTTTCCCGGCCTGGGCTGCGGCCGTTCATTCAAGAACACAACTTTAGCGCTGTTGATAATGTAGGTCTGAACCGAAGAGATGTCCAAAAACTTCTGAATCTCATTAACTCTGATCACATCATGGTATGAAGACCTCCGTATCTGAAAAAACCCAGGTCAACGCCGCAAAATTGGAGGAAAAAGACGCAATCTTTACCGGAAAAAAGCTGAAAAATTTACCTGAATGGCGCGGTGGTCTTTGTGATTGGCTAAGCAGAGTGAACAGAGAGCGCCATTGGTGCAGTCAAGGCAGTACATATTGCATTCGCTCTTGTGGGAATCGGCGTGGAGTTTGCATTGAACGAAGAATCGCTCTCGGAGCAGAGGCTTCAGCCATGGCGGCCACCGGTTATCGTCCTCGTCCGGCCCTCCAGCTCCCTAAAAAAACCCACAAAAAAAACTCAATCAAAAGTTCAAAACCGACCACCAAACGCCGGAGAATCAAGAATGGAGCAAAGGGTATCGGAAACTCACCATGATTCGCCGGTTCTTCGGCTTGAATTCCCGGACGGTGGTTTCCTGATTATCGATCGCCAGCTTGAAAGACGGCTTCAATGCAAAGAACGGTATAGATTATAGAATAGTGCGAGTAGTAACAGCAGTAACGCCTCTGAAACTCTGAGCAGAAACCTATAGATACAATTATACAAAGAGAGAGATATAGAGATATAGAGAGAGAGAGAGAGAATTGGGTTTGGGAATTGGAGGCGGTGAGAGGTGGGGGAGCTACTTTTGTATTGAGAATGGACTAGGGTGGGGGTAGGGGGTAGAGTGGGGTGGGTGGTTTGGATAGGGGGGTGGTGTAAGAAGGCAAATTGGGTCGTTCTTATCCTTTCGGTCATACAAAAAAATAAAAAATAAAAAATTCCGAGCCTAGCTCCGAGGCAAAGCCTCTAGATACGTTGGGTGCAAGGAACCGACCTCCTTCGTTCCTTTTTTATTTCCCTTTCATTTCCATATGTTCATATTCTTTCTTAGGTCTTATCATTGCCATTAATATATATATATATATAGGGAAAATAGTATTTTTTTCTCCTGTGTTGTTTACTAATAGTACATTTTCCCCCTGTGTTGTTTATGTAACCACTTTATCCTCCTCAATTGTTTTTGAAGTGGCTATTTTTCTCCCTCTCCGTTAAGTAAGTGTTAGGGCGGTTAAATATGAGGGTAAAAATGACATTTCACTTATTATTATTATTATTATTATTATTATTATTATTATTATTATTATTATTATTATTAACCAAATTCATTGCTAATAATAATAATAATAATAATAATAATAATAATAATAATAATAATAATAAGTCCCACCCAACGCCCTAATATACTGCAGTACTCCACGTCTAAAATGCACAGTTATATTGCAAACCAAATTCATTTCTAAATTACTAATAATAATAATAATAATAATAATAATAATAATAATAATAATAATAATAAGTGAAATGTTATTTTTACCCTCATATTTAACATCCCTAACACTTATTTAACGGAGAGAGGAAAAAATAACCACTTCAAAAATAATTGAGGGGGATAAAGTGATTACATAAACAACATAGGAAAAAAATGTGCTATTAGTAAACAACACAGGTAGAAAAAGTGTCATTTTCCCTATATATATGTGTGTGTGTGTGTGTGTGTATAATAGATAGATACATTTTTATCTTTTATTAGTGTATGGAATATGGAGTATTATTATTGTGAACTTGTTATAGTGTGAATCGTAACTAATCAGTAAATTATTGATATATTTATATATTGTATTAGTATAATTAGTTGGCCATCAATATAGTCATGTATTGTAATGGTACCAATGTTAATTTTTAGATAATAATGTATGATACAATCACGTATATATCATATGAAGTGTTTCCTATCATTTCCAATAAAATGATCTATATTATATATAATTGTTTTGGGTCATCAAATTATACTTTTCATCTTTAAATTATTAAGAAATAGTACTTTTCATCATATAATTATACTTGTCCATATTTGTTGTCTCTCGATTGCTTGCGAAGTGATATTTTCATCCTTGAATTCACTTTGTAAACAATTAACAGACAAAAATCATTCACATACAATTAAATGGATGAAAAGTTGTGGCACTACTATAATTTACGAACAAAAAGTTTCATTTTTCTTATTGAGTATTATTGAACATTATTGATAATATTCAATAATACACAATCAAATACATTATTATATCATATACGTACACTTAGCATTAACATTAATAGGCTACTTGAAAATTTTTAATTTGTTATTATTATTCATTTGCTTTTAAGTTTTTCATTTACTTTAATGAATAATAATAATGGCTATTAACTCTTTTTTAATATACATTTTAATTTAATGGAGAATATTATGTATGTGGTGATGATCATGAGTTGGCACATTATTACTTATTCCTTTTACTTTTTTTTTTTTTGGTCATCTTTATTTTAGGTACATCTAATTTATTAATCTAATTTGATTAGAAAGTTTTAGACATTAGGCGTGACACATACATTATACATAGGATAATATCAACTGTGGGACAATCCTACGTAAGTTGATTGATCGATTAACTTGATAATTATAAAATTTTAAATTTAACTATAATATTTAATAGTATTAATACTTCAAATACAAATTTTATTATTTTTATTTTTGTATTTTACATTGGAATTTTACTATTTTTAGATGAACAATAACAATGTTCTTTATTCTATTCACTTTCTCCTATAATGTGAAAAATATAGAATTTTTGTTTTTAAAGTGAATATTAAGATATAATTTTAGGGTGAGAATCTCAAGGGAAAAAAAATTATAGTGTCATTTGTAAAAAATGTCATATTTTAAAAATAGAGAAGTGGTACATGTTTATCTACTCACCACATTTATGAAAAATTATAAATATATTCTAACCACTCGCAAAATCATATGCGCGGAGTTTTACCAAGATGGTATAAGTAATAATTAAATTTATAACTTTTATGTACATGAATCATATTTCGATCACTTACTTAGCCACTTATTTTGGGGCTTCTATTATTGTTAATGTCACAAAATATTGATAAATATCATTATGTGTGACAAGAATATAAGTAACTCAATTACTTTTATATATATGAGGTTTGTTTTTGATTTGATTTGATTTGATTAGTGGGTACTATGTCGTTTCATTAAGTGATTGGTTTGGATTAGATGAATAATGACAAGTGTAATGGTTATTTAAAATAACCAAATATACAAATCTATTGCGATACAATCAAAATATTCTAAGTAAATCTGCGGCAACAAAAGGCAAATCCACATTCTTCACATTGCGCCCACCTATTCATCCAATTTTCTACCTTATAATATTAGAAGTGAATAAAAGATTTGTTAATCAAAGCTTTTAAATTTTGTTTAAAAAAATGAAGAAATTCTCTAATTAGTAAATGCGTTATAAACATTTTAGAGAGAAAAAAAGAGGAGAATTTTATCATACTATGGAAAGGCGGTTGCGTTAATCATATGGCCTCTAACGTGTTCGAATAGATATTTTTTAGAATTGACGTGATCTGTATTACACAGTTAGAGGTTGATTATTCCGATGTATACAGAGTATATTAACGAATAGCGTCAATGCGTCTTGATCTATTGAATTATTCGAGCCGTTACTACTTATCATGTCATTATTGACGTGTTTTTTAACGGTTGGGGTGGTGATGCTTATATAACTTACAACGTAAAACTCTAAATTATTACTACCGGTCAATTATTGATTAATGATCAGGGTATTGGTTCTAGGTATTAATGTCCAGGGCCGTATTTTAAGTTTTGGTTGCCCTGTTCTGGTAAATAAATGTGGCCCTACCAAAATCACAATTTTTAAAATAATACATGCAAATTTCGAACCTTTGACCTCCAAGTTAAAATACAACAAATACACATTTTTACCATCTCTTCATAGAACCTTTTAAGTTTAATTGAAAATTTTTAATTTTATTTCTAAACTAGCTAGGTAAAAATTAAATATTGAACCTATAAAATTTGGGGCCCCTCTAAAAATTGGGGGTCCTGCGCGGTAGCCCAGCTTGCACAGCCTAAAATCCGGCCCAATGTCATTCGTAATGTCTCGTTGACTTGATCATACTACGCACATGTCTTTCACGCATTCTCTAGACACGTCACCTATGTGGACAATTATTTTTCCTTCTCTCCCCACACATCCTACTTTGAGCTCACATAAAACTCGAAATAGGTTTTAACTAATGAAGTTGATCTTTTAGAAAATTGAAGTAAATTCATCGTTATTTATTATTTTTTTTTTTTGAAAGCTACTGGCTCTATTACATTGTAGTATCTGTTCATATACTTTCTCAATCTACTGAAACACAAAGAACCAATAACGCCTCCACTGAGGCTTGAACTCATAATCTTCCAAATGGAAGTCCAACCCGGGTACTCATCGTTATTTATTTATTTATTGGTTTATTGGTGAAAAAAATCCAAAACTTTACACTTTGTTGTGATTATATCTAAATATTTAAATTTAGCAATTTACTACCAAATATTTACATTTTCTAGCAATTTTACCCAATTATAATATCCAAGTATCCAACCCATGCCAACTACTATGTAGTGCGATGACACCTTTGTTATCATTCCAAATGGGTGGTCATATTATCGAACCCTGGTTGTGGAGGCATTGTTCTTTGGGCTACAAAAGATTGTGAAAGTATAGAACATATATTACCTTGTAAAGATTCACGAGTGTAACATATTAATGATGTCAATCTGGCCAACCCGTTCGGTTTCAAGCTAGTCTTGTCAGGCTAATTAGTTTTTTTTTTTTTTTGGTTGGGTTGGCTCTAACTTTAAACCTCGAGCTATCGTGCTTATCAAGCGAGCTAAACCGCTGAACTAAAATTGAAAAATGAGAGTGGGTACCCACATTCAGTAGAAATGGGATAAAATTTGAAAAACACCCACCTACGACGTCGACAAGTTGTGATTTATTTCATGACATGTAAATGATACAAATCACCTTATAAATTAACTACACGTAAATATGTCATGTTATAGATAGGGATGTCAGTCAGGCTAGTCCCTTTAATTTGGTGTAGGTTTTGTGCTAGCCCTATCGAGATTTGATATACCAGACTTATTAGTTCAAGATAATCATTTTTTTTTGTTCGGGTTCAACATTCTTCGCCTTAACCCTTCGCTCTAACCTTAAAATCTCGGGTTGCCGAGCTTATTGGACTAAAACTTTTGACATTTTCAAATTAACATTCCCAAAACTTTCAATTTTTATAAACTAGCACATTTACACTATAACGAACAACACGTTTGGTTCACATAATGAATTTTGAGGTAATAGGAATGCTATTCCATAATGAATGAAATAGACAAGGAATAAAATAGGAATTGTATTCTATTGTTTGGTTCACGGAAGGAATAGACTTTATGAATTATATTACAGTGTTTTGTTGATTGAAGGAATAGAAATGAAATATGTTTTAAAAGACATAAACACCCTTATAAAAATATGTGATGGTGGCGATGTGGCGGTGGCGGTGGTGGTGATGGCGGCGGCGGCGGCGGTGCTAGTGCTGGGGTGGTGGCGGCGGCGGCGATGGTGGTGGTGGCGACGGCGGTGACGATGGTGGTGGTAAAATTGGAAATAAATTTAATTGGGAGTAAAATAGGAAATACAAACTTTAGGCTATTCCTGAGAACTCAGGAATAGCCTAATACCAAGGCCCCCCATGAATCTCTATTTCCCTTGCAAGGGGAATAGGTCATTCCCGGGAACAATGTTCATGGGAATACAAGTGGTAACCAAACAGAGGAATAAACCTATTACTGGGAGTGCTATGATGAATGTGATTAGATTGATCAAATCGTAACAGAATAGATTACCGGATAGTATATCAGAAGCCTGCCACTAAAGACTCCTAACTAATAGGCTAAGAGAGTTAGACTTAATCTCCTACCACAAACTAATATACTATAGACATAATAATAATAATAATAATAATAATAATAATAATAATAATAATAATAATAATAATAATAATAATAATAATAATAATAATAATAATATTGTGAATAATACTAACAGCTATGTCATTCCAGGCCTATTCCGTGAACCAAACAGCCCATAATAAATATAAACGTGTACATCATTCAATCACTTTACACCTACATTTCTAAATTCCAACTAAAAATAATTAATATACTTACACTATAATATAATATTTATAGTAAGTTTTTAGTTTTTCTTTATTTATTCTCATAAAATATTTTATTTTGTACTATATTCATTAAAATTTTAATATAAAAAAAAAAAAAAAAAACTAAAGATGAGCTTACCTATAAACTCCATATATGTTAATATGTTATGTTTCTAATCACTTCTATTAAATAGCTCACGCTATCGAGCTAGCCCGTTTAGGCTGTCGGGTTCATCGAACTAATTTTTTTCAAGCTAAAATATTTCGAGTCTAATATAATCCTAAAATTTTTCAGTTTTATTAGGATAACTCATCATATTCAGACTAAGATTAACATCCCTACACATTATGTTTCTTTCGTTAATAAATTATATGCTTGTTAATAAATTGAAGACACAATTTTTAACTACAGACACATAATATGTTAACTGCAAACCGACAATAGTCCATGGTATATCATTAGGATGCCTTATCTAAATTTGTTAAGTTGGACGATTATTTGACAACTGAACATCCACATCATCATATGATTTTACATTATTATTATAATTTTTCTAATTTATGTTGAAGTGGAAGCTAGCATGTAATTTTTTATTTTTGCTTATTTCCTCACTAAGAGATGCATGCTTTCTTAAAATTCTTTAAAAAATTATTATTTTGTTATGACATTTGTTTTTGAAGCAATAAGATGGTGTGTATTTCTAAAAGAAATTGTGGAATGTTTTTTTTTTTCTTTGGTACATTGATATTGCACTATTGGTATACTATGGAAAGTAGTGTTTCAAGATTATGAATCAATTAGTATTTGTTACTCAAATAAAATAATGAATTCTATTATCAAACATTGCAAGAAAAACATCTCCCTACGCTTTGTAATTATACATAAATTACAAAAATTATGATAATAATGTAAAATCATACGATAATGCGGATGCTAAAAACCATGATTCATTTTGCACAAATATAAAATGGCTTTATCTCATCTCACTTTAATATTAATAAAAATAGAAAATAATAAAGAAGTAATAATGGTCAAGAAAAGGAGAATGGCAAATGACAAATTAATCCACTACAAACAATGACATATTCAAACTTTTTAGCCTAAGCTTTTAAGCCAACGATTGAAAATTGCTTCCTTCCAATCTCATTATTCACAATTTCATCCTTCTTAGTGCTTTTTTCTTTTTCTTTTTTTTTTTTCCCCTCCCAAAAAGTTGATAAAAATTCTTCACCAAAACCATTGATGACTCATGCTCCACAACTTAATTGCAATGACATTTGTTTGGTTTGCAAGGATAAATACTAGCAAAAAAGTACTGAATGAAGGTTCTGTCGAATCGACAAGATTTTAAAGCTATTTTCTTAAAAAGATTTTTGAGCGAAGTTTTTTTTTTTCAAAAGATTGTATTGGTATATGTTGAGCAATATGCACAATAGGGAAAATGACAATTTTCTTACCTAAATTATTGAAAAATAGTTTTTTTTTTTTTAATTTTTTTAAAATTATACAAGTCTTTTTGTTCCCTACTTATCTTTGATGAGAGTTTTTTTTGTCGCTATATTCTATTAATGTGTGGTTAAAAGAATTAGACAATTAATGGACTAAAAGTGCATTTTTTTTATTTTTTTTTTGTAATTTAAGAATGAAAAATGTTATTTCTCTCATAAAATATGAATGTATAATCCAACTATTAATTTCAACTTTTAAGTGAAACAAAATGCATTTTTTAATTTGATATTTAGAGCCAAATTCATATGAAAAAAGGTCATATAAGCTATGACTATTGTCAAGACTCACGAACATGTATGTGTATAGGAATTTCATAAATGAGGAAAAATTATAGCACCCTCTCGGTTGAGCCTATCTCATAAGACTTTTTTAGTGCAGTTTACCACTGCTGGAAATTTCGCATTTTCCGTCCAACAAATGTTGTACGGAAAACGCGATATATTGGTCGGAAACGACGTTTCCGTCCAACATACCGACCAAAAGGAACGTTCGGAAAAACCTCCGTGGGAAATTCCGTCCAACTATAGTTTTTGGTCGGAAATAGCGTCCAACGAACAAAAATCGGACGGAAATTTCGGAAAGTAACCCACCATTTTTAAAACGTGGGAACTTCCGATCAACTTTGTCCGTTGGTCGGAAATTCCGTCCAACTAAGTGCGTTGGTCGGAAATTCCGACCCAACGTTGGACGGAAAACTCACCTATTATATTTTGTTATTTTCCTTCCAACTGTTGGTAGGAAAATCCTAAATCATATGGAATATTTTTATTATTTTTAAATTATCATAATTTTATTTATAACTGTTGTTAATAAATTATGTCATAAACAAATTAATGAACACACTAAATTGAAAATTGAAAATTGAAAATATATTTAAACATCAAAATTATTTACAACAAAAATTATGTTCATGTTCATAAAAAAAAACATAAAAAATATATACTACTTGATTGATACTCCGTACTACTTAAGTATGAAAATATACTTATTTGATACTACATAAGTATGCTCGTTGCACCGAAATAAGCCTTCAAATCCGGCACTGCTTCAATGGCCTTGATCAATGCAGCATCCACAACCTCCTTCAATGAAGTTGATCAAGTGTAAACCTTCACCAAAAATGGACCGTGATATAAGTAATCTAACACTGAATGAGTAGATACCTATGCATTTTACAAAATGACTAGAAAATTAAAGGAATGTCTTTTATGTTTAAGTAATCTAACACAGAAAAAATAGAAAACTTCTGAATTCTTACATCCTAATTCTAAAGTTTGTTTAGTATAAGAGATGTACTCCACAATTCTTACATCCTAATTCTAAAGTTTGTTTAGTATAAGAGATGTACTCCACAATTCTTACATCCTAATTCAAGATTAGTGATACTCCACAATTGTTATGCAAGTAAAGGAAAGTAAGATGAGATGGGTCTAGATGCAACACCTGAATACTGTCACCACGAGAATGTTTCCGTGCTCTATTATCAGGTACATTTACAACCTGAGACAACATAATGTATGTAAAACAATCAACAAGGAAATTAATTAGAAATAAATAACCAGGCTAAACAAGCAGGCACTTTGTGACACTTATACCTTAACAAGATGAGTTTAAAAAATTAAAAGGAACTGTAGCCTGGAAACTAAAGCAATGCTTCCCTAGAATTTTTAAAGACTACAGGATACTCAAAATGAACAAAGAAGACAAATTTACTGAACTTACAGTTCCTTCCAGCATACATGAGAGAGATGCATACATGATGACATCATTGCTCCTATTTCTCTTTATATTGGAGGGGATCCATACATGAGGACAGCATAGGAGTTGCACGCAACATTGACAAATTACTTTCATCTTCTATTCCTGGTACTTCAATGCTAGACTAAGTAAACACAACTAAGCAAAGGGATGCAACTCCAGACCCCCAAGTTGGAGTGTTCTTCGGTGTCTCTGCAGGTTTGAAATCACCTTGTTTCTAGTTAGGAAAATTTACTTAGAAGAGTATGGGGCATATGAGTTGAAGAGAAAAAAGACCCATAATTAAATTTAACTTTAAGAAGAATAACTTTTCAATACAATTAAACATTAGATAATGACATATCAACGAGAGGTCCTGTTACTTTTTCATCTTAAAGAAGCAAGAATATTTAAAAAAAATCAAAAATCATTCAGGAGCATCTAGAAGTTAATGCAGTCTTTGGGCAATTTTAAAGCTATAGGCAAGATTTGAAAATTACTGTGATATGAATATATAATCCAAGGAGCATACAACATAGAAATAAATCATCTTGGAAAATCCTGCTATTGTGTTGAGTGGGCAATGAAGAAAAGCAACCATAGGCACCAAATATAGGACTAACTGTAACCAACATGGACATTGTGTCGAATGCTGTAAGTGCTCTAGAAATCCACAAAATATCAATATGATTCAAACCCAACTCAAAAAATACATACTGGATGGATATTGAAATGCAAGGGAAAGTGTTCTCTTTAAAATCATTAAATGATCAAAATAATGTGGCTTCATCATAAATTGATAAATATGTTATCAAGCAAACAAAATCACCCCTAATTTTTTTTTTCCCCTGTATTCAAGTCTCACCATTAATTTTTATGCTCAAATAAACAACAAAACAGAAATGAGATTCAAAGCAAGGGTTTCGGGATTGACTTACGGAATCCCAACACTCCGTTGCGTCTTTCCCTCTTCATTTCTGAGCTTCCTCAAAAGGTACAGAGACACATTAGTTTAGGGTTAAGATTAAAGCCTCTATTATAAGACTAAGTTTATCCATGCAATGCTTTCTCCATTTCAAGGTGCACTATGGGCTTTAACTAAATCTTTCTTCTAATCAAATAACATTATATCAATAACTAGTGGTTCAACCTAGGTTCATAATCAAATTTGTGCAGTGCAGACTTCGTTTTCCATCCTTTTCACCTAGTATCTGACATTAGATGACTTAGTAGTGAAAAAAAAAAAAAAAAAAAAGCAGCCAAACACACACACACAGAGAATATTAAGTTTCTTTAATGAGTAAAGGTATTACTGTTTTTAGATATGTAGTTCAATAAAGAATTTCCTTTGACGGCATAATAATGGCTGCAATCTTGATTAAAGAACATTTAGTTTTGAACTTGAAAGCAAACACACAAAGAGTATTAAATTTCTTTAATGAGTATAAGTATTAGATATGTAATTCAATAAAGAATTTCCTTTGATAGCATAACAATGGCAGCAAATGCAATTAAAGATCATTTACTTTTGAACTTGAGCTACTAATGGATAATGCAGCAATCAAATATATAGAGGTTGGGGCTCAGATCCATATAATTCCAGGATTGAAATGCTTGGCACTGCCATAGCTGCAAACCCCAGCTTGAGTGCGAAAATATTCACAAACAATAATAAACAGAATGATGTTGATCAATTATTCCTAGTTGAAGAATTTTACAGTTGGCTACTTTTAGAATTCAAGGGTCAAGTGATCAAAGATGGCAAAAAATTTGGACGAACAAATAATGAAAAATAGTTTTATGGGGTATATATATGGGTGTTCACTGTTCTAGATACTAGAGTTGATGCGAAATGACAATCAGTTTATAAATGGGTGTTCACTGTTCCAGCTATCTGCCTTAGCTACTAATCAACACTAACATGTTTCCATTTTTTCCACATTATTACTGAACAAGCCCTAATACCTAGTTTATAATCAACACTAATCAATCTTAACTACTAAAATCACAATAAGATAGTCAATAAGATACTAATATCACAATAACAATAATATTTGAAATCAATTAACAAAAAATTGAAATAAATTAATATAAAATATTAAAAAATAAAAAATAAACTTACCCATTGTTTTGGGAATCGGCAGCTACGGGGTGGTCGGTGGCGGTGGCGGTGGCGAGTGAGGCATCTCCGGCGAAGGAAAGGCGGCGGCGACTGTGGTTGAGACTGAGGCGATGGCTGTCGGTGTCTTCGTCGGCGGAGGAAGAGCGGCGGCGGGAATGGCTGTCGTCGTCTGTCAGTTCTGGTCTCGGAAATGAGGAAGGTCGTCGTCTTCTGTCGGAGTGAGGAAGGTCGGCTATCGGCTGTCGTCGTCTGCAGAGGAAAGGCAGCGGAACGGCTGTCGTTGACGGCGAAGAAGCCGGTGGAATGGCTGTCGGACTGTAGAATCGCAAAGAAATAGCGGATGACGAAAAATGCAAGTCTAGGGCGAAATGAAATGGCGGAAAATGCTAGTCTAGGGCGAAATGAAATGGCGGAAAATGTTAAGTCTGGGGCGGGAAGGGTATTAATTTTGAGTTGATTTTTCGCTGCACCCATTTTTTAAGCGGTGCCGAGAAAATTCTCAATTCTCTAATAAAATAATATTAAATTTCCGTCCAATATTACGTTGGACGGATATTAAAATACCTACTATTTTAATTTCTACCTATCAGTCAATTCGACTTTACCAACCAACACTATAGGTTGGTCGGAATTTCCGTCCAACGAGCGAGTATTGGACGGAATTTCCGTTCAACACTTGCGCGTTGGACGGAAATTCCGACCAACTTTCCGTCCACCCATCTTTAGTAACAAAAAGTTGAAATCTTTAGTAAAATACCGACCAATTTACGGTTGGACGGAAATGTTGGACGGAAAACGCGAGATTTCCAGCAGTGTACCTCCAGGCAGTATGATGTTTAATAGTCCTATGATTACATGCCAAAAGTAAAAAATTTAAATAAAAGGTATAAATTAATAATTCTTTAATAAATTAATCATCATAGGACACTAGGACAGCTATATATTAATGCTTAATTGACTTGATGTTTCCTGGTTTGGCCGTCATATATATCTAAGAATCCATGCTTATGGGTTTGGTTATAGCCTTGATGATTAACAAACATGCATTTCATTATCACATTCCTAACCCCATTTATTAATACATTAAACTTTATACATTTTAAGATTCTTGCAAGAAAAAAAATTGAATTATACAAATAAATACAAGTAAGGTAAAATGGTAAATTTCATTTCATACTGACAAAGTAATCACTCAATTCGCAATCACATTAGGCTTGACCTGCTAGAAGTCGGTCATTGTGGGGCATTGTGGAGTCAACCCAACACATTCTGGATGACGCGATATAGCCTGATTTAGCTTATTGTGGTCCTTTAATGACTAAGTTGTAAGGCGAGTTTAACTCAGAGCGCACCGTAAATCAAAATAAACACAAAAACTACGCACCACTACGATAGCTAGCAAATTAAACTACACATACACGTTTAGATCAAACATCAACAATATACCCACAAAAAAACATTAGTCATTAATCATTTAAAAAAGGGTTTTCAACAATGTGAAGATTATAAGAAAGATGATTATGGTGGGTACTGGGTAGCCATTTAACCACCACAAAAATCATCCTTTAAAAAGCAAAATGGTCTTAAGTGAATGGATTCAAATATGATTCATGAACTAAGCTAATTAAGTGAAAATGGGAATCTAGATTCATGAACTCTTTATGGCAATTTTATTTCCCTTTTGAAAGATCAGTGGTGTGGTCCAAAAACCAATCCCCAAAAACGTTACCTGCAACATCATCTAGAGACAACCAATGGAGCTATCAACTTTAGGCGTTAAAATGTAGGATATGTACAAAGTATTGGATGGCTAAACTTGTCCTCACATTATTTGTAATACACGTATCGTGTTCATATTGTTTTCTTCTTAATTTTTTCTTTCTAAATTATGAATAAACATAACATTACAGACGCAAAAAAGTCTATACAACAGACGCAGAAAGTTGTTTTTGTACTAGTATATGTCTAACAAAATTATATAGACTAAATACCCTCCACATACCGTGGGAGATTACAATGTCTTGCTAAACTGGTTAATTGCATTGCTTCTATTCAGACTATATTATATTCGATTTATGATGTCAATGACCTTGTAGTCTAGTGGCACGAAGTGACTCTTTCATATGGGAACGAAGTCATGGGTTTGAGCCTCAAATTCTTTGTGTTTCAGTAGATTGAGCTTGAGGAAGTAATCATGAACAGATATACATAGAGGTGATCACAGATCAAGTCAGATTTTTCTTAAAGAAAAATTTAACTTGAGTTATTAGTTTTTGGACTCTAGCCAATCTCAAACTAACATGGATATGTTTTGAACAATATGAACCTAAATCGATTCAATGGTCCCTTCAAAGTATATAAATTAAATTAAACTATATATTAAAAGAAACCTTTTTTTTTTTTCTTTTCTTTCTAAGGAGGGTGGTTGAGTGGGGTGCGGTGGTTACCTATGGTAGCCTTGTGTACAAAATAACGAAATAGGGCGCCGTTTTCTATGGGTTATGTTGATGATATGCCACTTACCAAAGGAATATAAAAGAATCAATTATGCAATAGGGCTATCCTAAGTGTGAATAGAATGGAATGGAAGGTAGCCCAAACCAAATGTCTTTCCAAATTTAATCTTTATTTATACCTTCTTTCCTAATTTAATTTGTCTTGTTATTTAAAACATCGATCTTTTGATTATTTAACTTATATACAGACGTAAAATAGTATAGTGAGAAACATCTAGCATTACATTCAAATCAAATAATGAAAATAATGAGGGTACGAGTATTGCAATACTTAGCAGCTTTTTAGTATAACAACAAAAGAAAAGACATGGAGAATAAGAAATGGATCGATGAACAATGTTGCATGGGTGAAAGAATATAATTATGAGCTGAGATGTACATTTTATTACTTAATGATGTTACTTAATTAAGAATAAGATGCTATGTGCATAGTCAATAATGGAATCATTGAAGGAATCTATTAGACTGATTGATCTATAAAGCAAGATTATGCATATCCGTCTAAGAAAAGCATTGCACATTTTTTTTTTCTTTTATTATAAGTCTTTTTATATAGTTTCTAGCCAGTGATGAAGCACATCTTTAATTAATGGAGAATCACCATGGCTGCCGTATAGTACCTTAAATATATAAAGAATGAAATGGAATCGTGCATAGTTAATGTAAAAGCAAATCTTTCCAAAATCTCATCACTCACTCTAGAGGTACCACATTGAAGTCTTGTTTTAGTACGTCCTGGGTAATAGTGTACAAATTTTACGTGTAAGAGAGGTGAATTGTACTAAGAAGAACATAAGATCATGTGTGATAAATTCGACTGAGAAAGTATTGATGAAAATTAAATTTATAGTCTTTTTGTACAAGAATCATACACCCAGTTGACTATCCTTTTTTATGTTTAGTTATGAGGTCGTTCGACCACCATTTTTTATGCTTAGTTAAGAATTTTTAGTATTTAAATTGACATGATGATATCAATATTCGATTATTCAAAAAGTTGAGATAAATTTAGGGCATTAAAAAAAAAACTACTGTTGGTGGTGGTCAATATTTCTTGCAAACTTTGATGGATGACCAGAAATTTTTAACCCCTCTTTTAGGGGGTCGGAAAATTTTTGCAACCAATGTAAATTTTGACCATCAAATCAGGATGTTTTTAAACTTTCACTCACATTTTTTTTATTGACAAGAAAAATGCGCATTCAATACTCGAGTGTGTGCACTAGGTAAATCTCGCTCTTGTATAATAGCTCACAAATCATATAGAAGAGATAAAATGTACTAAATTGATTATATGCGAAGAATTCAACTGAAAAGATGTTGACAACTTTTTATGACAAGAACACTAGTCATAAGAATGTGTGGCTGTCATTCTACGATCTTTAATAACATAGCTGGAATAGCTCAGTTGGTTAGAGCGTGTGGCTGTTAACCACAAGGTCGAAGGTTCAGCGACTATACCGTAGCTGTCTGCGGTGGAAAAGAAAATAGGCAGACAACGGAAAAGACGTCTGCGGTGGAGGTGGCAATTGGTAAGACGATCAGACCGAATGCCGGCCTAGAATACTAGAGATACTAGAGACGGGCAAACCGTACCTAATTATTAAGAGAGACTAGAGTTCGACGTATCACTTTGAATTGAAAGTTTAAGACTAAACTTAATGTCTCCCTTTTTATTTATTTTTTATTTTAAAAATACATTAACTATAGACTTTGGAGTACGAATTAGTTGACTTTTAGTGTATAATATGATCTGATTTAATCATATGACGACATTAAAAACATTAATCTTGCATTATTAAATATTTAAATTTCATGAATTTCCACACAGAGTTGCCATCATAATTAACTTGTTCATCTTGCAGAAGCAACCATTTGATGATGACTGCAACTTTTTTGACTAATCCTCGTAGATGTATATAATTAGTAAGCACACTCTTCTGACTATTTGGAATTGGAGTAAAAAGAGTTTTGTTTTCTTTAAATAAAATAATGAATTTGAACTTAAATGCTCAATAAGAAGAAATATTAGAAAATAACATTATTATATCCTTTTTTATTTATGGGAAACCATAGTGACATTATTTAATTTAAATGTGCGTTTTGAGTGAAATTAGCTTTGTGATCTTAGTCGGCGAAAGATTACAAAGAGGTAAATCATGTTAAGTTGTCCATAATTGACCGGTTCAAACTAAGAAGATCATTAAGTAACTCTCATGCATAGTCGAACTTAAAATCTTTGTGATTACCAAACGTATTATTAGTTCCTCAATTATATGTGGTTGTTGTATAAATTTATTCTCTCAATTATTTGCGACGCAAATTAAGTCATTCAATTATTATCAAAGTGACAAATTTAGTCCATCAAATATTAAATCAGTTACTTTGTTAAGTGTCATGTTAATGAGGGATTTAGTACTTGAAGGATCCTACCTATGCCACCACTTTGATAATAATTAAGGGACTATATCCCCACTTCAAATAATTGAAGAGTTAAATATTCATTTCGGTCATAATTGAGAAATTAAAAATGACATTTTAAAATTAAAAATATTAAAGAAGTTTTATCTCAACTCGTAAAATTTGTTATGATTATGAGTTTTGTTACATTCCCCTTGTAAACTTACATCCTTTGAATTTACTTTTCCATGTGACATTACTCGAAAGGGTCTTTTTGTATTCAATTATTATACTGATATATTCTTCTTAAACTTATGGTACGGTAGATTTAGCATTCATTAATAAACAATGAATATAAAGAATTTTATTACGTGATTATGATCAGAGAGGAATATTTTATTGTAATTTTAAGAAGAGAATTATTTTTTTCTTTTGAAAAGTGAAGCTTGAGATACCATGTAAATAAAGAACGAAAAATAGCCATTAAAGA